CCAGTAAATTAAGCGTCAAAACAGAGCATTACTATTACTGCTGCCATATTGGTGTGAAAATATGAAATCGTCCGCTTTTAAAAATGCCTTTGGCCACAAAAGTTTGCTAATTCCTCCTTCCAAAATATGTTGATAGGCTTGGTGCAGTAGCAAAAGACGCCGCTCTTGCCGCAAAGAATACTTCCCCAATTAAACTGGTGCTGGCATATATCTTCCCTCACAAACGCACGCCATCAGGCAACTTCTAAGCGATCTTCAGAAAGTGGAACTACGGAGAGGTTTTGCCAGCGGATGCCTGTTATTGGCGCTGCAGCTCAATAGTAAGAAATTGAACAATACGGTCAATTTTTAACATTTTCAGCCCAAAACTTAATAAGCAGAGCCTCCGCTTCTCAAAGAAAGTGGAATAATTTTTCGAGTAAGAAGGTACGTGCTTTTTCGGACTGCTCATTTATCTAATGGTATGGCGCTCTCTCATTTTCGAACTAAGATTATTTTTTGATGCTTTTTTCAGACACAGTTATTAAACAGGAAAAATGGAACCAAAAGCACTGACGTCATTACAAATTCAATTATCACAAATTTCAAACACCATTTTAGATATTAGGCCAAAAACCAATACCACGTTTTCGTGCCACTCAGCCTATAGGCATAGTTGGGTCCAGGACAGACTCCTCAGGCGGAAGGATAACGGAGATTGGGGAGAGCCCAGCCCCCCAATCTTAGAACTATGCAAAAACTGAGAATAGAGTTGTAAAAATGCTACTTAGAATCAATTTACTTTAGTTCAGGACTACTTTAGACTTTAGCTTATTTTATTTTTAGTTTTAGATCATCCGGGCTTTTGCAGCACTGTTGTCTGTGTCGCTGGGGATGGGGGCAAAGACCCATCGCCCTTCCCTCGATCCACCAGGCCTCAAAAAACAGCCTGTATGGAAAAAAGAAAGAAAAGAACTGGGGTAGTGCTGCAACAAAAGCCTATCAGAAGAAGAAAGGAATGCGAGTGTAGCCAGAGAATGGGATATTGGTTAAAGTAACTGCAAAAATTTGCCTGCGAGAATCGCACTACGAAATACTCGTGCAGCTACGAAATGCATGGATAAACGGCTATTTCAGGCAGTGTAAAGGCTCCCCCCTGTCGG